GGGAAGGCCACATTGCCCAGGGCTCCAGCCTGCTTGGGTAGCGCTTGTACATAAAAGATGATGGGAATAGGGAACTTTAGTGTACATTCATCAAGGCAATCCTTGTGTGTCTGGGAAGTTACTAATGTGACTTTTTGGGGCAGATTTCATACACCAACTGCAGTAAATATTCTCCTACTGTTTGGGCGTATTTATAGCCGTCACAGTGTCGTGACAGCATTGTAGATAGCTACTTCTTGTGCCAGAAGCAGCCTAGATACAGCAGCAGTGACTGCAATTCAGGCTAAGTCCTAAATATTTATTGGCTTCCTGGGTAGATTTTACAGCCTTCACTGAGCTCCAGACTTCTGTGGCTAGGCTTTTGTTAGTATGAAAGATAACTAGTTTAAAGATAGCTCAGGTGTGTCTACACTTCACTCACGACACTGACAGCAGCATAAATGTATCATTTAGCATTCCTAGAGTTTGCATCACTTCGTGTCAGGTGCCATCTGTCAGCCACATACAAACAAGAAACGAAGCTGGTAAAAACAGTATGTGTTTTAAAAGCCAGGGAAATACAAAGCAGCTGCCTTCACATTTCTCAAAGGCAGGCCATTTTTATCCAGAAAGCGGTGTTTGTTTTCTAAGACTGTACCACATGGACAAACTTCCTTCTCCACTCTGCCTCTGAAACATGAGGAAGAGTCTGCCTCAGGCACTAAAAGATAATAAACTACTCACAGACAGTGGGATCTGTAGGGAAGAGTCAGGATTTTGCTAGTGGCAGGGTAGCAGCAGCAGTACAGGCTGGGCAGGAGTTTGAAGACCAGTACAGCAAAAGTTATGACTGAACGGTTAAAGTACTGCCTGTGCAGCTCTAGCCATACCACTTTACTTTTCTGTACTTATTCTATTAAGCCTCCCATCTCCTTCTTAGTGTATTGCTGTTTTAAAATCACTTTGCAATTTGTTATTAGCTGCTTTGCAGTAAAAGAGCGAAGTGTTATGTTCAGCTGTAAATGAACGTGGTGACATGCAGATTGCAATCAGTCTCTCTCCATCCTTAAGCACGTGGTATGACCAAGTTTGTTCCACTGCGAGGGCATGGTAGAGCACGTATAGCTCGCTGCCCTGTGCTGTGGGGTCAGATTTAAACTCTCCGTGATTTGCTTCATTTGTTACTGGAACTTGAGATACAGTAATCTGCGGTAGCAACCAAAGTAGCAGTTGTGGATTCCAGTTTTCACTCATTCTGACTGGTACCTTCCTTCTTGTCTTTCTTTCTTCATCATGCAGCGTTGAACACTATTTACTCAGCTGTGGCCTGGAGACAGGAAGGAGCAATGTGGTCATGCACCAAAACTGCCCTTGTTTATTCCAAGCAGCTCTTGGCAGACAACATGGTGCATGGGCAAATGTAATTTTCTGCATGGTCTTCGCTGACCTTGCTGTAGGGAATAGGAAAACAGTCATCACAGCAAACTGTAGACACCTCCTAAGGTCTGCGGTGATCCCCCTTCCTGTGTAATAGGTACCCATCTGTAGCCTGAGAAATTGATACGATTTGTAGGCGCCGGGGGTGTCTACAGGCTGAGTTGTGTTATGGCCTGAAAGAGTCTGCCTGCATACTTCAGTGACTAATTTGGTGTCACTTCTCCAGGCATAAGAAGCAAAGGACTCCTTTCTGTAGAGAAGGAACTTCTCTGCACCACTTCAGCTTTGTGTGCAGTTCCCATCTAAATAGACTATTTGCTCAAAGACTGAAACTGTAATTAATTCCACTTTTATTAACATTGAACTTCACCCTCTGATGTGCTGGCTGGAGAGGATCTCTGCCACCCTTTCCCAAAGTCTTTTTGAGCAGACTTCTGCTTTTGTTCTATGTTGTTTTGTTTTGTGATGGAGGAGTAAGGATGATGCTGTGACTTGGTATGAAGAGGGAGGAAAAAAAGACAGCATAAATTATAAGTTTTAAAAGTATGTTGTTTCTAGCAAGTGAGAGATCTCTATTTATGCCTCAAAACTAATGCTTGCTTAGGGCCCAGTTACCCTCTCAAGCTGCTTTTGTTTAGCAACCTGACAGGGACCACAAACAAAGTCCTACTTTCTCAGGAAACCTCATCCTTCAAAAAACCCTTAAACTCCTTCACCTTCAGGGGGAGAAAAGGGGAGGCTGAGATTCAGAATTAATGAAAAGGGGCTTTGCTGATGAAAGTGGGCAGATTATCCTCCTAGAGCCTATCTGTTCTGAATGCATGAGGGATGCTTTGTACACTGCTGGACACCACACTGTGGAAATCTAAAGGGGATCAAAGCAGAGCAACAGATATGACTGGGCTAGGTAGGGAGGGATGTAGAGGGTAAGATAAACAGATTTAACTTTAAATAAGTATAGTTATCAGTTAAATAGATTGAGTAAGATACAGTATGAAGAAAGGGTTATTATAATGATCTGTTGACAAATGAAAAAATAATAGAGAGCAAGAGGTATAAGGATGTATAAATAGGAATTTGAACTTAAGCAAACAAAAAATGTAAATTGAGTATTGCATAAAGCTTCCAAATGGTGTGACTCCTTCACACCAACACGTAGGCTTTTTAGACAAAGATCAGAAATTTAATGCCCAGCATTATTCAAAGCTAGGTTTAGAAAGCCTTGAAGAATAGTTGTAAGAGGTCCATACTGTCCTCTTCAATTATGAGAAAGTGTCTGTTTCAAAAGAGCCTTTTTATTCCCAACTTCTCTGTTTTCCTGTAACCTGCTTCCTATGCTGCGCCTGTTGAAGATGATTTTCTGAAATGTGCATGTACCTTACATGAGCAGATAGGGTTTTTTTTAAGAACTTAGGACCAAAATCTCTATTGCTATAAATGACTGTTGATCTAGCAAAATAACAGAGAAGAAGATTTTCTTTCCTCTGTTGTGTCACGAAAGAGAAACGGTGAGCTCAACATTCAGTTAAAAATATGCATCTTCCTGCTCATGATAACTGGGACTTTTTCAATAATATCCTTTTGCAGTTATACATAAAATTCGGTGATACTTTCCTTGATGACATTCAAGGAACTGATTAGCTAAAATTGCAGGAGAAAACCCCACCGTTCCACCGGATACCATCATTAATGGTCAGACTTGATGATCTTGGAGGTCTTTTCCAACCTAAAGGATTCTATGATTAACCCAAACTCACATATATGCTGACTGAAGGACCAAGCAATAGACAGCAGCCTCTCATGTGTTTTAGTAAGAAATGACAATACAAAAAAGTTACAGTGCCCTCCATATTCTCCCAGATATCTGTAATTTCAGTGCAGTCACAGAAATTTAATTCAGCTCAGCATCGAAGTTTTGGAAGAATAGAGAGTCTGATGTATTTATCCTTACAGTAGAAGAGGTTGCACAAATCCCTGCAATGGTATTGTAGTTCTGCACAGGCTGGGACTTCCTTGTGTTATAGCAGATTTCTGACTGCAGAGTTGGCTTTTCCAGACAGAAGAAAGTCTTTCTACTCAGCATGCAAAATCATCTTTTCGTAGCATGACCCTAAACCTAAGGCGCTTCATGAGATAGAAGGTCCTTCCAAGTGCAGTGCGAAGTATAGTACTCTAGACAGGGTCTATAATGGATGTCAAAGAGGCTGACAGTTTTTCAGCTATAGGGTTTCCTGAACGGAAGAGAAAAATAGTAGCGCTCTCCTCTTTTTCCTCCACTTCCCTGGCTAATAATGTAGGTAAAAGAAAAGTCTATACCTTGATTTTCATGACAGTCCTCCTGCAGTATTTTCTTTAGTCAGCATTGAAAATATTAATTTGGCTGGGTTGGATGTCACAGTGAAATGTCCCTTTGATACTGCATACCTGCCTCTTGAAACAGATTCTGACAAAGGCATAGCATTTTCCCTTTCTCTCACTTTTGTTGAACTGCCAGGCTTTGAGGAGTTGTGGAGATCTGGAGAAGTTGTGGGTATCATGTGGGACAAGGCTGATTATTTGGATGGGAGCCTAGGGAAGGCTAAGATGTGTCTGTGGCAAAAGAACTCATGCTCTCTACCTCAGTCCTAATGCCTGTGCCCTTTGGATCCCCTTCCTGACTACTGCTTGGCTCTGCTTCCACCCCTGGCTCTTTCTTCCATACTTTGCATTCTTCTGTATATAGAAGGACTGCAAAATTGCTGCTGTTCAGCTAGTCTTCTCCTTAACTCCAGTCCACAGCCTTTTGGACTATGAACATACAATCATGTAGGGCTTTTTGACATAAGTATGTTTCCATTCCCTCGGGATCCTATAAGCTTCCCTAAGAGTCACCTCTCTTGGACTCCTGATGAACCACAGAGGCCTTTCTTGACCAGTCTTTCACAAAGCCACTCTCTAAAACATGAATCATTTGATTGGTTTTCTTGTGTTTTTTGGATCTTCACTCTGTGCTTCCTATAATACAGTGACCAGATTTGTACATATTATTCCAAAAGAGACCATCCAGCTGCCTTACCAAATGCCAAAGTAATAACGTCTGTGGTTTATACTCTGTAGCCTTCCATACACAACCCAAAAACCTTGTTTGCCTTTGTTACTGCTGCCAGATGTTCTGTGGATGGTTTTCAGGCGTATTGTGGTGAATGTCACCATGCCAGTGAATTTCAGCAAATTTAAGCAACTTTGAAATTATTCCTTTTTCCACATGGTTATATTCAGGTCAAACCAAACTGTGTTCTCACTGGAAACTGCCCTGTTCTGGTTACCTCTTTTTCACACTGAATCACTACCTGTTACCAGATTCTCTGCAGGAGTCTCTTCAATAGGCTTTCCCCTTTATCAGGCCTCTTTCTGATTGTCTTTGCTGGAAACGCCATCTGAAGAGCCCAGTTCTGAGGGTCTAGGGAGCAGTTATATTGTCATTAGTACTCAGTCTACTTGAATTGAGAGTAGAATGGAATATGAGGGGTTTTTCTAGAGAGGAAGCAAGGGGAGGGAACAGCCCATAAAAGAGTTACGACGTTCTCACCTCTCTCTTCCTGCAGATTTGCTGACAGCACAGGAATACCACTGCCTGCTGCAGCTGCTCTGCCCTGACTTCCCAATGGAACTCACTCAGAAAGCAGCAAGGTGAGTCCTCATCCTCTCTTTTAAGGCAAGATCAGTCCTACGTGCATGGGCTTAGGAACTAGATCTGTGGGTAAAGGTATGGACAGGGACCTTCATCTTTTAAGATTTTTGGGAAAAGAGATACCATGTTTTGAGGTTAAGAACAGGGTGTTTTTCTAGTAATGAGAAAGAGTG